CACACACACACACACACACACACACACACACACACACACACACACACACACACACACACACACACACACACACACACACACACACACAGAAAAAAAAACACCAACTCTCTCTCTCTCTCTCTCTCTCTCTCTCTCTCTCTCTCTCTCTCTCTCTCTCTCTCTCTTGATCGGATTAGTGGGGATCGTATCCAGCGCAGCAACCTATTCGTAATTTCCATAGATTTCAAAAACAAAAAAAAAACAAAAAAAGGTGGAAAATCTATGGTTCCCTCCCACCAACCATCCCTACCCTGATTAGTGGGGCTCGAATCCAGCGCAGCAACCTGTTCGCCATTTCCATAGATTCAAAAAAAAAAAACGAAAAAAAAGGTGGAAGATCAATGGTTCTCTCCCGCTAATCATCCCTACCCACATTAGTGGGGATCGAATCCATTCGCAGCAACCTGTTCGTCATTTCCACAGATTTCAACAAAAAAAACACGAAAAAAACTGGGAGAACTATGGTTCCCTCCCACCAATCATCCCTGCCCAGATTAGTGAGGATCGAATCCACTGCAGCAACCTGTTCGTCATTTCCATACATTTCAACAAAAAAAAAAGGAAAAAAGGTGGGAGAACTATGGTTCCCTCCCACCAATCATCCCCACCCAGTTTAGTGGGGATCGGATCCAGCGCACCAACCTGTTCGTCATTTCCATTGATTGAAAAAAAAAAAAAAAAAAAAAGGTGGGAGAACTATGGTTCCCTCCCGCCAATCATCCCTACCCAGTTTAGTGGGGATCGGATCCAGTGCAGCAACTTATTCGCCATTTCAAAAGATTCAAAAAAAAAAAAGGAAAAAAGGTGGGAGAACTATGGTTCCCTCCCACCAATCATCCCTACCCAGTTTAGTGGGGATCGAATCCAGCGCAGCGACCTGTTCGTCATTTCCATAGATTTAAACAAAAAAAAAAAAGAAAAAAAGTGGGAGAACTAAGGTTCCCTCCCACCAATCATCCCTACCAAGTTTAGTGGGGATCGAATCCAGCGCAGCAACCTATTCGCCATTTCCAAAGATTCAAAAAAAAGAACGAAAAAAAAGGTGGGAGATCTTTGGTTCTCTCCCACCAATCATCCCTGCCCACATTAGTGGGGATCGAATCCAGCGCAGCAACCTGTTCAGCATTTCTATAGATTTAAAAAAAAAAAAAAACGAAAAAAGGTGGGAGAACTATGGTTCCCTCCCACCAATCATCCCTGCCC